AACCCTTGGACCTGCTGGGGCTGGACCCCAACACTACTGTGTCTGTTCTTCATAAGGCATTATGTACTCATGGTGATCTCTTCATGATATGTTCTATCTATTCAGACTGTATTTAATCATTCCCCTTCCCCTTGATCATTCATCTTTCACGTGGCACTCACTATATTCTAATAAAATCATGGGCTTGTCTACTGTCTTCTCTATTTGATGGAAAGGTCTTTGGAGACACAGAACCATATTTATTTATACCCACCATAGTGCCTTCCACTTAGATCCTCAGTATATTTTAACAAATTAATATTTATATCAGAGAAATAACAACATTTCTCTGAAATGAGCTCTGCTTTTCTCTCTCCCTAGAATCCACATGATATAAAAGAATTTGTGAGAGTGTCTTATGCTGCTTTAAAATGTAAAGTTTGTTTCTAGTAGGAATTATGACTATTCTAAGCTCTTGGAAAGTGAACCCACTTTTGTGGTGGGTGGGGATACAGGAGCTAGCATTTTAAAGTTTCTGAATATGATTTTCCAGGCATGTTCTTCTCATTCTAAAATGCGTTTAATTGCCACAGGAACTGGGCCTCCTGCAGCTACAGGAAGGTGCATCCGGAAGAAGCATGAGGTCTCCACTCTGCTGCTTGACTATTCTGTCTTTCCATACTTACATCTCCCTAATACTTGGTAAGTGCTGGGCTACATTTTATGTCATTGTCAGTTGATTATCTTTCATCTAAGTAACAATTTTGAAAAATCAGTAAGCGGTAATAGTCTAAATCTGTTCATTTATTTTTTTATGAATAAAGATGGAAAATAGTAACATTTGTCAGGGATGGTGGAGGGTTTCTTTCATTGAATTTTTAAAATCTGTTCATAGCTAAAAAAATGCTATAATACTTGTTGAAGGAGATCTATGTTAGCATCCTAGATTTCCTTTTAAATTAAAAAGTGGGCTAAAATAAGTTAACATTGCCATTAAAACCGGAAATTCCAATTAGGGAATCTAAGACAACCACCTCCGTTCTTAAGAATTAGTCTGTCCTAGAGCTTTCTTAAATGAAAGTCACAGACGAGGCTTGTCTTATTATATTTTCCAAAGAAATGAACAGCTTTCATCCTTTCCATGAATAGGCATTTGCTGCGTGTTAATGAACTGTGGAGAACTGATTACCAGGGTCTGCCATGTTTCCTGGAGACTGAGGCTTTTCCTGTTACATTTGCAGGGACAGGAGAGGTGAACCTTGTGGAAGCGGAGAACCTCCTGGCACCTTTCCTGAAGCAGTTTCCAAATGTAAGCCGAGAATTGCAAGTGTATATTTCAGCCGCGATCCCCTGGCCAGGCCGACCATCAAACAGTGTGTTCTCTTCCTTTCTCCACAGGGCTCACTCATGCTGTTCTATCACGCCCGAATAGAGCTGCTGAAAGGGAACGTAGAAGAGGTAATTTCTTTGGGAGGAATTACTTGGGAAGTTATCTGTGTGGTGGAGTTGCATCACATTCTCATTCAACATAAGTCAGTTTAGCTGTATGCCCTAGACCAGTGGTCGGCAAACTGCGGCC